CAGCAGCAGAAGCAGCAGCAGCAGCCGGCGAGGAGGTGCCTGTGTCCCTCAGCAGCAGCCTGCTGCTGCTGCTAGCTGCCGTTCACCCCCACCGCTCTGTGCTGCCGCCTGGCTGCCAGCAGCAGCAGCTGCTGCAGCAGCCGCTGCAGCTGCAGCAGCAGCAGATCTCTCGGGCTCAGTCTGCTGCTGCTGCTGTCAGAGCAGCAGCAGCAAACCTCAAAGAGGCACCCCTAGCCCAGCCCATGGGCCCCGCCGTGCTGCAGTGGACGCAAGACCTTATTGCTGTAAGCTGCTGCTCTGCTGCTGCTGCTGCTGCTTCTGCTGCTACTGCTGCTGCTTCTGGGAAAGAAATGCTATGGTGATGCGAGTGAGGCTGGCTGTGTCTCTCCTTCTTTGATGCTGATGCTGATTTGGCTGCTGCTGCTGTTGCTGCTGCTGCCTGCGTTGCTGCTATCTTTTCCGCCCCTTTGGCGTTGCTGTTGCTGCATTTGCTGCTGCTGCTGCTGCTGCTTTTTTGCTTTGCTGCTGCTGCTGCGCAGGCACTGTGTCCGCAGGTTGCTGCTGCTTTCCCACAGCTGGAGCTGCAGGCGCACGCCGCGCTGCGAGCCTGCCTCGAGCAGCAGCAGCAGCAGCAGCAGCAGCTGGCAGCAGCAATGTCTCTGTCAAAAGCGGTAGAAAGCCTCAGCAGCTCTCGTTTCCATTTGCTGCTGCCAGCTTTAAATGCTGTTGCTGCTCTTCACCTTGGGAAGCACCTCAAGAACTGCCTGGGGTAGAACGCACCGCACCTGCTGCTGCTACTGCTGCTGCTGCTTGTGCTGCTGCTGCTGCTTCTGGGCGCTACAGCTGCTGCTGCTGTGCTGTTGCTGTTGCTGCTGCTGCTGCTGCTGTTGCGGGAAGGAGAGCCGCTGCTGCTGCTGATTGCGCTTCTGCTGAACTGGGTGCGGAGGCTGCTGCTGCTGCTGCTGCTGCTGCTGCTGCTGCTGCTTGCTTCTGCAGGGGCCCTCACCTCCAGGGTCTTCACCTGCGGGCTCTTTGCTGCTTCTTTGCGGACGTCTTCGACCCCTCCAGCCCCGTAGGCCCCTTGGGCCTAGCTGGCTAGCTAGCCAGCTAGCCAGCTAGCCAGCTAGCCAGCTAGCTAGCTAGCTAGCTGGCTGGCTAGCTGGCTAGTAGCTGGCTAGCTAGCTAGCGGGCTGGCTAGCTGTGTAGCTAGCTGCGAGCTAGCTAGTCGGGTAGTTAGCAGGAGGCCCTAGGCCCCTGGGCATGAAAACAGCTAGCTAGCCATCTTACTGCCTAGCTAGCTAGCCAGCTAGCTGGCTAGCTAGCCAGCTAGCTGGCTAGCTGGCCACCAGAGGGAGCTGCAGCTATGCTCACACGCGGTTTCCATGGCTAGCTAGCTAGATAGCTAACTAGCTAGCCAGCCAACTAGCTAGCTAGCTAGCTAGCCAGCTAACTAGCTAGCTAATTAGCCAGCTAACTAGCTGGCTCTCTAGCTAGCTAACTAGCTAGCTAACCAGCTAGCTAACTAGCTAGCTCTCTAGCTAGCTAACTAGCTAGCTCTCAGGCTAGCTAACTAGCTAGCTAACTAGCTAGCTAACTAGCTAGCAAACTAGCTAACCAGTCCTGAGTTTGCTGTCTCGCAGCTAGCTAGCTGCAGCCACAGGCCGCCAGGAGGATAATTAGCTAGCTAGCTAGCTAGCTAGCTAACTAACTAACTAACTATATAGCTAGCTAACTAACTAACTAACAAACTAGCTGCAGAGAGGCCTTCTTTCTGAGTTCAGCCGCCTTGGCACTGCTGCTGCAGCACACGCGGCTAGCTGCATCTGCTGCTGCTGCTGCTGCTGCTGCTGCCTTGCTGCAGGGCCTTTCGGTGCTGCTGATGCAGCAAGCTCTGGAGGCGATGCGGCTGCGGGCGGAGCCGCTGGGGGCCCCCGAGGCGCTGCTGCTGCTGCGAGGTATTCGCCAGCTGCAGGTGGGGCCCCCGTGCTGCTGCTGCTGCTACTGCTGCTGCTGCTGCTGCTGCTGCAGGGCTTTATATGGAATTTAATGCACTAAAATGGCATTTTGGTTTCATTTTTGATGGCTCTTGCTGCTCTTTTTGTTGTGCTTTTGGACTTTAATTTTAATCTTTGAATTTCCGGTTTTTGCATTTTTGATTATTTAAATTTCATTTGAATTCTTCATTTGAGCAGCACTAGTTGAATTAATTTATATGATTTATTTCTATTTATTTTTATTCATTTTTACTTATTTTAATTCATTTTAGTTTATTTCAATTTATTTTTATTTGTTTTCGTTTTTTGTTTTTTTTATTTTTTGATTTTTTCAGTTTTTCGGGTGTATGTACATGTCAGTTTGTGTATTTGCTTGTTCAAGTTGGTCCCCATTTATTCATATTTGTTTCTATTTAACTTAATTATATTTAGTTATATTTATTTACATTTATTTATGTTTATTTATTTAT